CAAAAAGTAATTGACTGGCACGTTCAATGTGCCACTCACGCAAAAAGGCAGCATTAACCTCTATTTCCTCATGGACTTAAATGCTTTAGGAGAACAATCTTCCAATGCTGTGTCTTTATGCATTCTTGCCCAACACCAGAGAAATAAGAGGTAAATTAATTACTATTTTGCTTTCAGCTGGCCAACAATAAGAGTTGGTGCTTTCTGTCCATCTTCCCTAGCTTAGTTTCCACGTCTTAGACTGGTCTCAAGGAGCTTACAGCAACATTTCACTCCAGCCAAATGACAGGGTGTGCATATATTAATAAGCACATAAATTATGGTGAGTATTTTGGAAAACCCGCTGTGCCTTCACACTCCAGCGTTTTTCTGCTACCCCTTAGAAAAAAAGATTTCTTTTCCTTGCTGGACACTAGCCTCTGCTCCTCTGGATTTTGTGAGATGCTTCAAAGCAAACACAAAACCTGCTTCATGTGCTTCTTTGGCCAGAGTGCCCCGTATGTTATCTTCCAATTGACTACTGGTCCATCTCACTGAATGCTTTAAGATCCTCCGCTTCCTTACTAGTGAATAGCCAAGATGAAGTCTTCTCCCACAAGTAACATCTGAGTGCCATTTCTCCTCATCTCAAATAATAAAAAGCCTCATTAAGTACAAGGGTCATTAAATAAGTTTAAAAGTTATGATGACACAGGACTGCTCTACCATTTTAAGGTTAGTAAAGTGCTGCTTTAATGCTGTCACCTTATCAAATCACCAAAAGACATACAGTTTGGGGAATAATTTGAGGATTTCTTGCTCAGCAGCTTCCATCTGGCGATATAATCAGAAACGAAATTACTATATATTAATCTTAGTACCAAACTAACTGAAAACTACATCCAAGAAGATACTGGGGCTCTTCACTTATATAGACATTTAAAAAAGAAAAAAGAAAAATTTACTTGGTTTCCTAGGCTTCTAAGAGAGAGGTCTACTCCCTCCACTTATATAATAAAGTTATTAGTAAGACTGCAATATGGATTCAATACTAGTATTAACAGAGTGTACAAAAGATGAATACTCACTCACAACATACTGCTTGAATTTATTTGTCAAACAATCATGTCTACATACAGTCTCTCAGATAAGTTGAGCTTCTTAGAGTGCTGTTTGTCAAAAAGTGGCACTGGGAAGGCGAGAAAGACAGTGCCCAAGTTTGCCCTGAAGAAGGGAGAGGATAGAAAAGAGGCCTTTGCAAGCAAACCTGCTGCACTGCTGATGAATTAGGCTCTTCTAGCAGACAAGTTGTGTGTTGCACAAATAAACTAGGCTACTGCAAACACAGCCAGCCACACATTAGAGCACTTTATAAACTAAGAGTCTGAATAGACGTTACAGCTACTTTTCACCAAAAGATACAGGCTTGCTGTGTATGCCAACCAGACACTAGTCAGATTTTAAAAATAAAAAGACCCAAACAACACAACATGGAGCACTATATGGGAATGACAACAAACATACAATGCAAATCTATTTTAAATTAAGAAAAAAATAAAAGATTGTAGTGACCAGCCATGTAACAGTCAGGCCTCTACACGGGCTGCACACTCACCATTATCAAAAGAAGCCCAAGCAGCAGTAGGAATCAAAGAACAAGAGAGGCAAAAACGGCCACCTACCCACCCCGCATAAACAAAGGCATACATACCAAAAGAATGAAGAACATAAAGAACACAAATGTAGTGAAATAAATTGGTCCCAAAACACGATTAGCTTCTTCAACCTCTGTGAAGTTGAAGTCTCCCAAAATGATGCGGAACTGAGTAAATCTTAAAAAACAAAACACATCCAGAAGTTGAAAAAAAAAAAACCACACCACTTTTGGAGCTGTGCAAGAATTCTCAAGCTATTTTATCCTAACAGTCTGACTGATGGGCAGCAGAAAGGTCTGCACTACTGCAAAACTTTATCAGGCACTGCAACAGTCAGTTCCTCAAGCCCATCTCTAGGCATAACCAAACCCACAGTCGGGTGCCACATACACATAACAAAACTAAGGTGGTTAATTCTGGCTTTCGATCACAACTGGTAATGTGGGAAGGGAGAAATGGATAACTGAACAATCCAGTAATTACCTCAGTTACAATTGGGTATGCTGTACCAAATCAATAAAGGAAAAAAATGATTAACAATCCTATATTTAGTCCTATCTCTCTTCTGGGTTCCAGCAGACACTTACACATTTACTAGTTGGCTGTCAAAGATGGAGTCACCCAACTACACATGCTATCAGGAACATGGCATTACTATGCATACAACATTTCAGTAAGCATTACAAAGATAAGTAGGCATATAATCATCCAACTGCTGAAGACAGAGTTATTGCTTTGTCTAGAAACGTGACTGTTACGAAAGCCATGTCACTTCCACCAACCAAAACCCATCATTTTTAGCTCACTGATCTAACTATAGTGTATATCTTTAATCTCACAGCAGAGATAGTTTTTGAACTAAAAACGTTACAAAAAAATGCATCTGCTACTGAGCTACATCAACAGTGATATGTCTGCACCTTATCTGTCTAGATAGATGTCATAGGATTTGCTTGGTCTCTCATGAGGCAACCAAATCCATTTACCAAGACACTGAGAAATTCTTTGCATTTTTTATTCTGGTACTTACATGCAGTCCTGGAAAGTGCTGAAGTCATCGATTTGAGTGCCAAAGACAAGATAGGCCAACTGAGCATATGCTAAGAAAATAATAAAAAACATAATAGCAAAGCCAATGACATCTTTGACGCAGCGAGACATGGTAGTGGATAACTGACTCATTGTTCTGTTGAAGTTGACAAATTTGAAAAGCTGTTAAAAGAAAAAAAAAAAACAACTGTAAAGACAAGGAAGATAACAATTTCTTAACACAATCGCTCTCCAGCCTTTTACACAAGATGTCTTACTGAATTTGACTGGAGACAAAGTCAGTTAATTTACGTTTAGAAACACATCACTTCCTAAAAACACTGAGGCTTGAAATGCGAAGAAAGTTCTGTGAGAACACCAGCTTCTTGTTTGGGTGTGGGGTTTGGTTTGTTTTCCACTCCTCTATTTGGCACCTTAGCTTCAGAGCAGTGTTACTGCGATGCTTCCAAGCACCTATTTATTTATCTTCAATGAGGATGTTTGCTATGAAGTAGTAAAATGCAAGAAAGGAAGATCTCACAGCTGACTTTGCTCTGAGCAGGTGCTTGGACTAGAGACTTCTCCAAGTCCCCTCCAACTTACATTATTCTGCTACTCTGCAGTTCACTGTTATTTCTTATAATAAGCCTTTTTTTTTTTTTTTAAACCACGATGCAAAAATTAGATGCAGCTTTGTCTTACAAAACAGTAAGAGATTAGCTAACTTGCTTGATAAACCTAAGTATCAGTTTGGAGTATCAAAGTGGAAATTCACTTACCATTGGTCTTACATTTTCCCCTGTTAGACAGTTTATTAATTAAATGTTCCTCTGCAACTTTATACATACAGAAGATAGGAAAATGAGTATGAATATGAAAAGAAGTATCACTAGAAAGGAGGCATTAAGTCAGGGAAATTAAGTTTAACTCAAGTATTCTATCTAGTTTTCAAATGAATTGGACTGGCTTTACCAACCCTTCTAACGATTCAGAAGTTTTGAACAGACAAACAGGCCACAGTTAAATCAGACTAGGAAAAAGCAGTACCCATACCCAGTAAGAATTACTGACTTACCAATTCACGGATAATAAAAACATTTCTTTATGTGTCTGCTGTGACAAAGCACTAGCACTGGTATGGCATCCAGTCATTATTGCCCAGCTGGATTGAGTTGAATATAATGACTAATTAACTAATCACCTCAGGGTCCCGCCCCTGCCTACAAGAGGCAGGCCATTTCCTCCTGGCTGCGGAAGATGCAACAGCGTCCTTGGTGCTGCAGCCCAGGCTGGTGGGCAACACACTGGCTATGTCTTCTAGACTTAAACTTAAAAACAAAGGCTGACTAAACCTATGGCAAATTACAATCTTGCTTTTAATGTGCAAGAAGTCACCCCTGTGCTCTGACTTTCTTGCATGGCCAATTGTAGGAGAAACATGACTAAACCTCAAGTAATATATCACGTGAAACTCAGAATACTGCTTACATTCTAATGTTAGAATAAGGATGTGTGTCTTGGAGTTACCTTAATCCAGACAAAAAACACAGTGACTGCAGCAATGTTGTTGAATTGCATTTGCCAATATGCCAAAGGCTCAAAATTGGGGAACGAGTTCTGATCTTCCAGTAGCTTCTTCAGGAGTGTATCAACAGTTGATGTCCGATAGATGCCAATTCCTATACCTACCACAGAAAGCTGAGTACAAAAGAAACATACAAGTTTATGTAAGGTGATTAGGGTTTCAAAACGACTTGTTTTAGCCACATACATCAGATAAAGTTAAGCTATGAGGAACTTCATGTTATTTGTATCACTAACATAATGTGAGCTTTAAGTAAAAGCAAATATATTGTTTCAAGGTGTCTTGACTACAGAGTGGAAGTTTTACACAGGAAACTAAGCGAGAGATTGCAAAGAGCCGGGGGGGTGGAAATAAAAATAAAATCATCACTGATACAAGCTTCTCGCAGTCTTGCGGGCTCAACCCCACTGGTCACTGATCACATTAGTGCTTAGGGCCAGGCACTTTTAGGGGCTGGAGGTGGCCAGGTTTCACCACCTTTCACTCAGGAGTAATTTAACAGTCCAGTGACTGCTGTTTAAGACAGGATCCAAACTAGAAATTCTGGACATATCAGGAAATGCCTTTCACAACAGAACCATTACAGTCCTAGACTACAGACAAATAGCCTGGGAGTTTTAGAAATGTTTTCCTTGCCATAGTTAAAGAACAGGATGACAGTGAAGCCTAGCCAACTCAGAAAAACAAAGCTGTCACAGAGAAGGAAATAAAAGGAAAGAAAGATGACAACTCAAAAAGACAAAGGTGAAAAAGAGTAAAGAGCAGAAAGACAGCAGTAGGCAAAAAGGTACTAGAGTTTCTCCGGAGTGCAGACTGACTGGTATTGCCCAGAACAAACAACAGCAGAGAAGCTGTAGTTTTACCATACAGGTAAAGTTCTTGCTTTGACCTCTGCAAATGTGCTTTTTATTAGTGGAAGTGAACACTTCACCAGGTATACAGAGTCATAAAGTAAATAATCCTAAATTTAAGTAATTTCTCTCAGACAAGGTATAAACATGGAATTTTGACCCTTCGGTATGAATTGAGTTTTACACTCCCACTTGAATACACTTCACTGACTGTAACAGCAAAGCATCTTATTCCCACCCCCACTGTTCAGTCTAACATACAGCACACAGTTTACATTGTCCTAAATGGTCTTTCATGTACAAAGCACAATGATGCAAGTATGATTTCTCTAGGTTACAGGCACTAACTTCAAGACTTAAACCTTTGATCTGTCCAAGCCTGAAGATATAAAAAGCGTGTGGGACTGGAACTGTTTCAGCACTGCTAGCTTTGTATTCTTTGTTAAGCACAACTTGATATAAGTCTAGAGAGAATTATATTATGTAGCTTTAAATCCAAAGCTCAGATTTTCTGTTACATCGAGATTGCTGATGTGCAACACTGTTCACTTAACCAAGAAAGCAGCCCTGACAGCTGTTAGCACTCTACATTTTTGAGACACTTCTTCAAACTTGGTATTAGCTGGTATTTTAATACCACATTAAATCTCTTTGTGGTTCTTCACAAATATATTCAAATCCCAGTCCCACTCCTCCAAATGCAAATCACTACTTTAAAGCAGATGACTTTCGTCACTTGAAAGGCTCTTCAATAGTCTGTATCAGATATGTAGAGGGGAAATGAGGGTGGATTTGTTACCTCCCATCACAGTTGTGCCTTTATAAACAAAAACTGTGAAAAAGAATACTGGATAAATACTCTAGCTTTTCACCAGGACACAAAGGTTGAAACCACCAAAGGCGGAACAAGTAAGTTTGCAAAACACACCAACAATACAACACAGAGTAAAATGGTCTTATTCAGTCTGAATAGCCCAATAGTCTGTATCATTCCTAATGACGGCCCTATCCCATAAACCAGCAATAAGAACACTGAGCCATTAATGTCTCCCACAAAGCACATTTCAGAAAGCAATTTTAGCCTGATTACTTACCATAATGATAAGGACGTCAAGGCAATTCCAGAGACTTCTGAAGTAATGCAGCCTATGAATGTGAATTTCTAAGATTTCTTCCACCATATAATAAAGAACAAAAAGACAAAATGCCATTTCACACGCTGCCAGGAAAAAGTCAAAAGTGGAGATGTAGTGAATCAGCCTCACCGGCTGAAACTGCCAAGACGTAACAAGGCCTCCAGTGGCTGGAAACTCCACTAACAATCTGCATTTACAAAAAGGCAAAGAAAATATTTCATTTACACAGCGTTGATGAAAAGCACTCCTAAAAGTACATGGACACAATTATTTAAATAATGGAAACAGGCAAAAGCCCACATATGAATCAAAGAAGACACTACAGAGAACTGAAGGTGTAAACTTGACCACACTCAGTTTTGACTAAAACCCAAAGCATTCCAGGAACTGTGAGAAAACAGACAGAAAGGCCTGTCTTCATTTGCATCTGTTTCATGCTGTCTAAACTAAAGACTGATATGGTATATCCATGTATTTAACAAGTCAACTCACTAGCGAAGTTGCCTGCAAACTGCAGCCAAGCCGTTGCAGCATCAGGAAAGTCAGAACTGCCTCCAGATGGTGAGTGCAGCCACCCTGCAGAGTCTCACCTCTTTGACAGAGAGGCATGCCACTTCAGTCTGTCTCCTTTACACAAAACATATACTCACCCATGCCCTCAAAACAAAGCAACCACAAGAAAACCCCAAGCCTACAACCTACACTGTGCAATTTGAACACTGTCATAGCTCTGTTCATACCTGACAACGCAGAATAGGTTGATGTTTGCATTGTATACAGAGAAATCAATGAAAGCTGCTCTGGTCCCTCTGTCCAGCCACAGGTTCTTCTTAAGGCTAGCAATCTGCACAGCTGTCACTTCTCTGGTCCTTGAGAGGTCTTGGTAATAACCAGCCCCACTATATGTGGCAATCAAGCCCCAGTGGCTGCTCCCATTCAAATCCTTCTCAGTGGTGTATGTCCAACTAGTTCAGAAGTAAGTGAAACAGAGCACGTTAGTCTTTTCACTTCCAACTTAACAATTAACAAAACAGACACCAACAAAATCTGACCAAAATAATATATCAGTTACTTAAAGCTGCTGTTTAAGAGGTACTTGTAGAGAGTTTTGATGTACCTTGGAGAAAGAGCTTACGAAGTTCCTTTGACTAACACAACAAAATGAAGATAGAAAGATGAGTCACTAATGAAGATAGAAAGAATGAGTCATTAATTATGAAAAGAGAACACATCAATCCACTCACACAGAATTTCTACCCTTAGGGAAAATTGGCATTTACATTGCTACATTCCACCTCCAAAACCTTTTACAGTTCGACTCACACATCATCCTCTAAAAGAGGCAGTGCTATTCCCATTTTTAGCCTGGGAAGACAACTCAGTGAGACCCACTGCAGCAATACAACCCGGAATTACAGAACAGGTGCTCCTGAGTTGCAGTGCTGCACTCAGACCACAGCGTGTCTCCCATGCATAACAGCTACCAAGGGCACGACGACTGCACCCTACATTCCAGCGGATTGAGAGGACAGTCCACTCCAAGTTCAGTAAGGTTTCTCCATGAGCAGAACGGGCAGCTGCTTTGGATTTACCTGGCTTTACAGACAGAATGTACAGCAAATGCAGAGCTGCCTCTGCCAAGTGACTTACTGTGTAATTCAGCATAACCCAGGGCAAGAGAAAAACAAAAACAAAATGTGTCTACAGGAATACTACGTACGCTGTTCCATTTTGAAGTCCAAAAGGAGCAGTATCTTCATTAGCTACAGAATAGACATCATAGCAGTCTTTGATTTCATCTTTTAAATCTTCAGGTATTGAGCATGAACCATTTCTCACTTTCAACTGTCGAATGCGAGGTACTCCTAGCAGCAGGTTCTCATAATAAATGAAGCTTTTGTTTTCTGCCATGGTTTTGTTGTTGTACCACATCTCCCAGTAAAGACCATCCAGCAAAGGGCCTTCTGTGAACTGAGGAGGAAGACAGAATTTTAGTTTGCGTGTTGCCAGTGCTGTTTTTACAGATCTTCATTCCTCGGATGTGTTAGAATTGCAGTTGATAATTCTTCTGACATAAGGTCTTACTGTTACTTGTCCTCCAAAGACATTCCGCAACCTTGTCCTACCCTGCACCATTAGCATTACCTTATTTCTAAACTTTCATATATTAAAGGCCTGCTTTGTTCCATAGCTTTCATATTGTATGCCCAGATGTTCACCCGCAACCCCTACCGCATTAGGAAAAAGATCCTGCAGGTTAAATTTACAGGCCATGACAGGACAAGCAAATCGCAGCAACAGAGAGATAAAAAATTGGTTTAGATTACCTTCCAGAAGTCGTCCATTGTGGACAAAGTTTTGAAATCAGTTTTTTCTGTTTTTGATACAGGCGTTTCCAGGAAGAGCTGCGACATAACCCTTGTGTAGTAGTACATACTGGAACTCACTGTCCCGTAAGTCACTGCAAAAGATTTGGTAAGAAGTGAGAGATAAAGGGGTGGGGGAAAGAGAAGAGAAAAAAAGAAGGAGAAAAAAAAGAAAAAAAAGAGTACTTTGCTTGTTTTGTTTTGAATACATCAGGTTGTATTTGTATAGATTTTGAGCTGAAAAGTTCAAGCTTCAGAACAAAACAAAATCCACTCCAAGCAGCACTTGTCTGTCAACTGTGATTAAAACACAAAAAGCAGTGAAGAACAGACTGATTAATCAGTTTAAAACACTCAGTTCTCCTTCCCACACCTCATTCTATTATCAATGCTTCTACAAAACCTAACTCCAAGAAAATCAAAGGCACAATTCAGCAGCCTGAAGAGAGGCAACTAGTGCCTTTTAGGCGATTTGTTCAGTCCAAGGCATCGATAGAATGCTGGCACAGATGGCACAAGACCTCAGAACCATGCCCTGCTTGAGCAGATAATGACAGCCAACCAGTATAACACAGGACACCGTGACTCACATTAGCTGCCTACGGTTAGACAACAGAACTTCACCCGGGACGTGCAGTGCTTCTAAGAGAATCTCCTCGCAGAAAATAAATGACTGTGTGCTACTTTTTTTTCCCCCTCACACTGGGCTAAGCATTTGGCTGAGGACCACAGACCATAAATTATAAAATGATGTGCAAAGCCAAGATGGCTTGAGAGAACAGTCTCTGGCACCGATACTGTTACTGACTATAAATACTTAGAACCATTTTATGGCTAAAACTCAGAGAAGCCTGAAAGATTAAGTCTACACTGAACAGTCTCCATCAGTTTTGACAATTTTGTAAAAATATTTTATCACGGGGAAGAAAATGTGTTTTCTCTAGTCACTGCAGATCAAGAACTACTTTTAATAGACTTCTGCTGTGGCGCATGGAACGTATCACACGACTGAGCAATACCTGGATTCTCTCTAAATATGTACTCTCCAAAACACAAGTGGACAAGAAACGCCCATAGCATTTAGCCTGCTCTGGCAAGCTCTCTCCTAGGGCATGCCAAGCCACAGAGCAGTCTGTCACATAGTTTTTGCTTATGTGTAAAATTAAAAAGGATAGTCCTTAAAAAAAAATACTAATGAGTTTGCAATATCTGTAGATTTTTAAACACACTATACTTTTCCTTTATTCTGTTACCAAAAATCTTTTTCTATAGCAAAACAAATTGTTAACAGCCTGCACTCAAACTTCTCCCACTGAAGCCAATTTCACTTTATTTTATTCAGGTCCCTCACTGCTGCACCTCTTCTGGCAGTACAGCACAGCAGCTACAAACAGTCTCACACTACTTTGTCCATAAACCTGCACTAAGCATTCTTAAAGGACTCAGGAAAGAAAAATCCATAATATTTAGTATATAACCATGCTTGCAGTAAAACATCAAAACACTCATGACAACAGTATAAAGTTTGAGGGGTTGGGGTTTTTTAGTAATTCTACTCCAGACAAGCAAGGCAGACTTGCTCTCAGAGCCAATCTATCAATATAGTTTTGCATTTTCTTCTCCACTCCAAGATTATCTTTCATAAAAAAAAATCACCTTGTTCTATTACAATGGAATATAAACAACAACTTGTCACTGACATTTCAGACCTTAGAATAGGACTGCTCACACTAAAAATTGGAGGCTTGAAACATACTGGCTTTCCAAAGATACACTAACTTAATGCATACGGATTTTGTTGTTATTCTCTCTAGTAACCAAATAAAACATTTATTTCACGATTCCACAGTAGGTTCTATTTTGCATTGTCTTGCTAATTTTTATGCAAATAGATGAACAGGCCTTGTTTTGACTATTAACCTAAAAAACCCTAGAAATCTTGAAATAGAATTGCATAAGAGATTCAAATTGCCAAGGCCAGAAAAGATGACCGCTGTCAGAACTATAACATTACAGCCACAACTGTTCATGGTGCTGTGCCAGGCCTGTGACAAACATCCTGTACTATCTGTGCTCCAGCATCACTAAGGTTCTTTACCCTGAGAAAAGAATAGCAAACTCAGTTCAGGTTGCTTTCTTAAACTCTGCTTGGGTCCAGGAATATTGTCAAGCTCCATCAAGCTCCTCACTTCTGTACTAACCATGTATTTAGAAGAATTTGCTAATATTATCTTCGGTGTTGATTCTGGAACACCCACCTCAAAGCAGTCATCTGCTTAAAAGCCAAATAAAATAATTAAAAAAAAACAGTAAAAGAGTAGGTTGAATGTTACTCTGTTCTGTGTTCTATACTGTTACAATACTTCACATGATATCCTAGGCAAAACAAATGACACACTTAAATCATGGAAGTCTCCAGCTGTGATCCATATACACTTGCGTATATATAGGCTGCAGATACATTTAAAACATCCAGCATTACGCAAACACAGATTATCAAGTATTTCTACGTAGTTAGCATTATCTCTGCCTTTCCAACTACTTTCAAGAACTTTTATTCTTAGAACGATCTGTACGTAGCTTGGTGATAAATTTGAAACTCAATGATTTAATTTAATTTTTTGTCCTAGATGACTAACTCCTACTCTTCACATTGGACAGTTCTGTTCCATGATTTCAAACGCACAACAGAAGCATTACACTGCAATGTGGTACTACGTTGAAAAATGCTCCCTGAAAAAAAAAAGTACAGGAATATTTTCATCCTGCTTAAAGGTTCAAAACTTATTAAGGCACAGAAAATTGCAGTACCTTCTACCTCAAGCAACAGCTCATGTGCAGAAATGAGAGAAAGATTTCATTCCAAATATGTGGCTACACACCTGCTCATTAATTCTTCTCCCACATCAGTGAAAACAACCGCCATTCTGGAATCACAGATAGCAAGCAGATTGCACAGAACTGGGTGCATTAATGCTGAACAGTACTTACAGACACACAAGACCACAAGGAAAATCATGTACGTAACCAACTCCCGCAGAACACTTTTCAGATACCGCTCTCTGCTGGTGTTGCTTTCTTCCATGAGTCTTGTCCCCCATAGACCTTAAAAGGAAAACACATATAATGATGTACACAGATGTCTGATAATAGATACACAAGTGACATAACAAATTAAGTGATTTTGAAAGCTTAACCTATGTCACGTCTGCTGCAGGTTCTTCTTATAGAATCATAGAATTGTTAGGGTTGGAAGGAACCTTAAAGATCATCTAGTTCCAACCCCCCTGCCATGGGCAGGGAAACCCTCCACTACACCAGGTTGCCCAAAGCCTCATCCAACCTGGCCTTGAACACTTCCAGGGATGGGGCAGCCACAACTTCTCTGGGCAACCTGTTCCACTGCCTCACCACCCCCTGAGTGAAAAATTTCTTCCTTATATCTAATCGAAATCTCCCCTCTTTCAGTTTAAAGCCATTGCCCCTTGTCCTATCACTACACACCCTTGTAAAAAGTCCCTCTCCAGCTTTGCTGTAGGCCCCCTTTAGGTATTGGAAAACTGCTATAAGATCACCCCAGAGCCTTCTCTTCTTCAGGCCGAACAGCCCCAACTCTCTCAGCCTGTCTTCATAGCAGACGTGCTCCAGCCCTTGGATCATCTTCGTGGCCCTCCTCTGGAGTCGCTCCAGTAGCTCCATGTCCTCCTTATGTTGGGCGCTCCAGAGCTGAACACAGTATTCCAGGTGGGGTCTCACGAGAGCTGAGTAGAGGGGCAGAATCACCTCCCTCAACCTGCTGGTCATGCTCCTTTTGGTACAGCCCAGGATATGATTTGCTTTTTGGGCTGCCAGTGCACATTGCCGGCTCATGTTGAGCTTCTCATCAACCAGCACTCCCAAGTCCTTCTCCTCAGGACTGCTCTCAATCCATTCTCCATCCAGCCTGTACTTGTGCTTGGGATCGCTCCGACCCACGTGCAGGACCTTGCACTTGGCCTTATTGAACTTAATGAGATTCTCACAGGCCCACCTCTCCAGCCTATCAAGGTCCCTCTGGATGGCATCCCTTCCCTCCAGCGTGTCCACACCACCACACAACTTGGTGTCATCTGAAAACTTGCTGAGGGTGCACTCGATCCCACTGTCCATGTCTCCAACAAAGATGTTAAATAGCACTGGTCCCAGTACTGACCCCTGAGGAACACCTCTCGTCACAGGCCTCCATGTGGACATTGAACCGTTGACCACAACTCTTTGAGTGCGACCATCCACCCAATTTCTTATCCACCGAGTGGTCCATTCATCAAAACCATGATAAGAAGACAGACTTAAGAGAAGCTATTAAACTTTGGTGATCCCTTCCAAAAGGGTAACAGAAAAGCAAAAGGATCTTTTACATGGAGTCACTAAAAGAAACACCATCCGAGAACAGAAAGCGCTTAGTAGCCACCACACTTATTTCCTGTGCCTAATACAGAACAGAAAAAAAGCTGGGAACAGCTGCTGATGCTCAGACCAGAACTGCTACTTTCAAGGAACTTCTCTTCATTTAAGCCTAAATAAAGCAAGGTGATTTGACCTTAGTTTATGGTGAGAGAGAAAGCATACAAAAATAAAAATTCGGTCTTACAGAAGCACGCCTAACTTCCACCCCTTTCTTTTCAGGTATTTTAAATGGCCAACCTCCCGAAAGATCTGTTATGTTCTCAGTCGATGGAAATGAAGTGACCTCAAACTCCCTAGAAGAACATCTTGGATCCATTAAACACACCACAGTGATTTGAAGTCAAATGGAAGAGCAACAAGGGATAGCCAAAACATGTTACAAAGCTGACAATGAAGCGAGAGTTCAGTTGCTTTGCAACCACAGCTGTAAGACTAAAGCAGACAAAGGGCTGATCTGTCTGCCGCAGAACTTAAGAGATGGGAACAAAGAGATGGGAATAAGGCAGTTCTTCCCTCTACCTGCAAATATGAGGTGTATTCAGAAAAAAAAAAAGTTTTAGATGCCTTTCAGCGCCCACATTTTTAAGTTGTGACCTAACTACTAAGTCAACCAGGAAACTTCTCTTGCATAGGCACAGCAAGCGCTAACAGTCTTAGCACTAACCTCTGTTCACACTCCTTTATCAGTAACTTATAACCTTCACTAGTGTCGGCCCCCAAAACAAGAGAGCTTTTTCAAAGCTGTTCTTTAAGGCTAAGTCTGAAAATTTACAGATAAAGACTGCAGCTTTACTACACAGAATGCCAAATCTTCACCATTAGGTCATTCTTGAAGACAGAAACACAAAACCAAGAACATTTACAGAGTCACTAATAATAAAGAACTCAACAAATTCAGCCCCTAACACAGCACTACGTTGCACTAGCAACCCTCATAATAAAGGCAGGAAAACATTACGGAAGAGAGGAAGAAAAGCCTGGAACAGCCAGTGAGCTAAGCTGGCCAGAGAGCCAAGTCCCTGCTGTCAGCACATTACTCACCAATAAGAAATGTGGTGAGCAGAAAGCTTGCAAGCTCAAATTTTGTCATATTAGAATGTTGTTAGGAGTCAGCAAGGAACAGAAAGTTACATGTGGAAAAATAAAAAACAAAAAAAAAACACCAACAAACCAGTACCAGAGATCATACAATGATCTTTGTATTAAATGAACTCTGGATTTGCCCGTCAGCTAACTTAAAGCTTTCACTAGTTGCCATGATTTTAGAAGGTATGTACATTATTCCCCTTTTCACCTTGTTAGAATATTGGTTTAGAGGCATCAAGAATGGTGGCGGTAAGCAGTGCTGGACTTAAGTTGACATCTACTGCAAGCACCAAAACCATTTTGTTTCTAGCCTCAATCAATCATTTTCAGTTAAAAAAACCTACACAAATTTGCTATTCGTCAGCTTTTTTGACACAATCTCTGCACTCTTTCATTTATCAAACAAATCTGCAACTAACAATTCTCTCATACTCGTTCTATAGCCCAAATAGCTTACCCAAAGAGTATATAAACTGAGAAGAGTTGTCAAAAAATAATGATCAAATGCAAATTTAAAAAAATAGATGAAAATTCATCTTACAATAAAAAGTCTAGCTTGTTAGGTAACATGGAAAATTAAAAACTTTCTGTTTACACATCTATAAAATGTTATACATTATATAAATCACATGTATACATGTACTTTACATGTGCACATATACCTACATAATCATAAAGCCAAGTTTATAAGGTACAGAACGTATATAAAGTAATTCAGATTTATGTAAAAGTCTTAAGTTCCGAAAGCAGCTCAAGCCAAGATACATATCACTAACTAATCTGCCTACACAGAAATTCAGATGCTGGGGAAAGAACGGGGCTGGAGGAAAGAAAGGAAAGCGACCCTCAGGCAACGATGCTTTGTCCCAAAACAATAACAAAACACAGTTTCGCTAATCTACAGTGAATAATATTGGAATAATAATAGTGAAAAATAATATCAGAATAATAATAGTGAATAATAATCGGAGCCTGCACTAGTTCAACTCAGTGAAAATGCCATGCAGCATTCTTTGGGAATGTAAGAATTAATGAGTGACTGGAAATGGTATTTGGTACTTCCACTTAACAACAACCAAGAAAACCTTTCCAGAAATACCCCACATGCACTCCTTAGTATTGATGCACACGAGGACACAGCAGCACTAGGTGACCAAGTACAGCTCTGAGGGATAGATTACCTTTCCAGTCTGGCTCTGGAAACAGACTTTGCTCTTGCCCATCAAAACTTTTGATGACTTTCTCCTTAACAGAGTTCACCCCTGCGAACCTTATGAAGTTCAACAAGGCCAAGTGCAAGGTCCTGCACGTGGGTCAGGGCAATCTCAAGCACAAGTACAGACTGGGCGGAGAATGGATTGAGAGCAACCCTGAGGAGAAGGACTTGGGAGCGCTGGTTGATGAGAAGCTCAAAGTGAGCTGGGAATGTGCCCTTGCAGCCCAGAAAGCCAACCGTATCCTGGGCTGCACTAAAAAGGAGAGTGGCCAGCAGGTCGAGGGAGGTGATTCTGCCCCTCTACTCTGCTCTTGTGAGACCCCACCTGGAATACTGTGTTCAGCTCTGGAGTCCCCAACACAAGAAGGACATGGAGCTGCTGGAGTGAGTTCAGAGGAGGGCCACAAAGATGATCCAAGGCTGGAGCACCTCTCCTATTCAAAGGACAGGCTCAGAGAGTTGGGGCTGTTCAGCCTGGAGAAGAGAAGGCTCCGGAGTGATCTTATTGCAGCCTTCCAGTACCTGAAGGGGGCCTACAGGAAAGCTAGAGAGGGTATATGGTGAAAAGACAAGGGGCAATGTATTTAAACTGAAAGAGGGTAGATTTAGATTAGATCTAAGGAAGAAATTCTTCAACTCCGAGGGTGGTGAAGCACTGGAACACGTTGCCCAGAGATGTTGTGGATGCCCCATCGCTGGAAGTATTCAAGGTCAAGTCGGATGAGGCTTTGATCAACCTGATTTAGTGGCAGGTGTCCACGGCAGGGAGGGTGGAACTAGATGATCTTTAAGGTCCCTTTCAAACCATTCTATGATTCTATGAACAGTAATCCCCTCCTCTCCCCTCAGCACGTGCGATGTTTGGTGAAGAGATCTGCAAAACTAGAGGGACTAAAGATAGCTCACAGAGACTCCCATTAGAATCTGAAAAGAATCCACAAAGAGAGAAACCTAAAATACAGATAATCTGAAGTAGTTTACTTGCTGTTCACTCAGTAACTCCTGTTACACTCCCCCCAATAGTCGCAACTACCAAAATTCCATTACCTTAAATCCTCTCTACACTTTTATTTCACAACCGACAGCAAGAAAAGTGTAAGCTGTCATTCAGTATCCCTCAGTTGATGAGTGGCAACTTGTTTAGCCACAGTAACACTATCACTTTAGGTATCCAAAGGACTAATCCCTCTTGTTGAATTCTGTCTAGTGGAAGGGAATTTCATTAAATAAATCTATGCTAACTTTCCTCTAGTCATCTTGAAATAAAACACAGTATCGAGTATGCCACTTTCCAGTCTTCAAAGATCCTCATGGTTATCCATGACATGTCAAAAGAACTACTGAGTGCTCTT